GAAGTACTAGTGCATTAAGTAGTAACAATATTTTCATGGCAATAAATTAGCAAAGCTACAGGCAATGTTCAGAAAGTGCAAAGGTATTTTATATCAGATACCACTGAATTTGCCTTTGACTTCACAACTCTGTTTTCTTTTAAAGAAAATGTAGCGCCTCATATATTTGGCAGCTGTTTCAAAGTCCCGATTAATTAAACTCACAGAAAACGAACTGGAAAAGATCTTCCAATCAGCCCATCAAAGCAAAATGTTGCATAATACGAACAATACAGTACTATATTGTATTTGCATTTGAATTGTTCCTGAATATTTTTAAATATATTCAGTCTCCTTTGGAAATGTTGAATGCAAATCTTCGCGGGTTTCATTATTTTTCAATTTAGAGGGGAGGGAAGATCTCATTAGGGTACATTACAGGTGGAGTCCTGAGAGAGGATAGTATCAACTCCATAGCTTTCTTGCCTCCTTTCCACAACTGTGTTAGTAATTTCTGAGCTCTGATCGTGGTGTGGGCTGGGAGAGGAGCTGTGCAGGACTGAGCAGCTACCCTGTAAGGGGAATCCTTTGTGCGTCCTCCACAAGGCTCTAAGTTTGAAGGAAAAGCTAAACTTAAAGGCTCCTGGCAAAAGAGAAATGTCTAGAATCTGTTAGTTCCTTGAGGGCTTTTTGCTTCCCCCGAAGGACTTGATTCAATCAGAGTTCTGTAGTGCAAAGCTGAACTGATTTTTCCCACCTAATGTGGGGGTTTTTGTAAATACTTCACCTCAACAGGAGCACCACCAGCTGTGTGACAAAAGTCTGTCTACCAGTTTTGCTCCCGCACACTGATAACCTGCCTTGTTTTAATTAAGTTTGGTGATCATAAGTCTTTCTGAAAAGTAAATGCATTTTAAGGAAAATATTTGTGTTGATAACCCCACCCCCAGAGCTTCTGTCTCTGCCATATGTAGGATGATGAAGCCCATACACACAACTATGCATGTGGAATACAAAAAAACCAAGGTAATTTCTCACCAAAGAATCTTGTGAGCCATGTTTCTAGTTTTGAATATGAATATGAATATCGCACATATTCCATAATATATAGGGCAGCTGTGTCCCTGATTTCTGACATGGAATTGAAGAATTTATTTAAAGTCATGACAGATTTTAGATAGATGAGGCTTTGGGACCCACTGCTGCAATGTCTTTTTCTATTGGTTTAAGATTAAGAGTAAACTTCCTTACTTGGAAGTAACAGAAAAGTGACTGAGGAATAATTGGTGGCCTGACTGCATGGCAATTAGTTATGCCTGTTAATTCTCTGTGTTAGTTATACACTGTGTGCATATGTCATTCTAGAGAGTCCCTATTCACTAAGGTGTATAGATCCATAAATAACCTGAAACATACTAACAGCCCTTACAGAGTTTTTGAAAAGTGCAGCAGAGAGGTTTGAATTGATGGGAATAATATTATTGTAGATTAGGAATAAGTTTATCATATCACTTACAGGAACTCGCTTAGTGGTTTGAGAATTTTCTACAGCAGAAGAGGATGGAATGTGTTAATATTGGAATGTGGGTTCAACGTTTGAATTTCTTGCTTTGTCAGTTTGTATAAGCCCCTCTGCTTGGTGTTTGACAAAGCTATCTGTTCAATCTCTTTGTCTAGGCTAATATGACATCTCATATTGATGTGCTTATCTTGACAAATGTGGTGGCTTGTGCACCCTGCAGGAATCGTCTTTTATTAAAAGAGCACGACGTGGCTATGTTTAGCACTGCCACGTTATTTTGGGAATGGCTGTGCAGCAGGAAGGGGACAGTGGGGTGAACCTTCTATGACACTGGCAGTCTGCAAGCCAAGCCGGCCCAAAGCTGTCTCCAGTGACTCATCCAGCCTCTTTAGTTTGTTACTTGCAGATAGTAAAATAAATTTTCTTACTTTTCTTTGATTTTGCAAAACAAAAAAGAAGTGGCATGTCACGTGAAACACAAGTAGAAGTGCCTTCAAATAGTATCTCATCTTCATTCTCACAAACTCAGCAGGATGGGAATGACAGTGATTCATGTCTCTCATGGGAGCCCTGTTCTTCCAGTTGGTCTCATTCCCAGTGAAGTCAGTGGGGGTTTTGCCAGGGATTTCATTTGATGCTGCTTTTTGAGTGAGGTGTTCAAATTTAAATCAGCTAACAAGCATACCCTTACAGGCTGTAATTGTGGTGGTAGACAAGAACAGGATTACACGAGTTTAGAACGGTAAATACAAAAAAATAGTAATCAGAACTTTTCAGAGCTTTAAGTATCACCATTAACAGCCTGAACAGTAGTGAGGCTAACTTTTGAACATAGATCTTACAGGTCCATGCTAGAATAAATATTTGGTAAATATTCTCTGAAATCTCCACTGATGTGTATTGGTTGGAGTGAACAGTTGTTTACAGCTGTTCTCTCAGTAACTTAAAATCAGAGAGAAATAGCAATAATACATGGCAGATAAACCTTGTAGGCAGGTACAAATGTATGTCTTCTACAATTTTGGGGTTTTTCCCAGAATAATTGCATTGGTTTTGAGGAAACACACTCTGATGCAAGCATGTGGTATTATCACTGCATATGATGTCAGTCTTTTGGAGAAATTAATTCTGGTTCTGATGTCTGTGCCTCAAAAAATACACTGTAAACTAAGTCTGGTTAAGAGAAGAGCTAAAAGGCTGGGAAAACAATCTTGCCTTTCAGTCAGCGGCTAGAGAAAGCTTGTACTGTTTTGGTTGTTTTTTTTCCCCAGAATTAGTTAAGTGGCCACTTGGCTATGCTTTCACATGCACAGAAGGAAATATTTTTATTAGGAGTAAAAGGCATTGAGAATTTCAGTGACTGAGATCTGGAACTAGGCTATTCATGCTGTGAAGAAGGCCAAAAGCCAGTATAAACCAAAAACTTACTAAGTTAATATTCCATAGAGGAAAGAACAAAATAACTTCCAGAAAAAAACTAGAAGTGTGTGCCATTTTTGCATCAGTGCCCTTAGTTTGTGGATAGAGAAATTTGCTGGAGGTGTTACCTCTGCACTAGCAAGCTCCTGTCCTTTGGGCTCCACATTTCCCAGCCCTGCTGTCCCAGAGCCTTCTGCATACCCCAGGGCTACCCATTCCCTGACTTCTCCTAAATCATCTCCCCAAAGTCTGCCTCAAGACACACTATCTTCTTCCCTAAAAGCAATCTCTTTCCCACCCAAGAACATACATCTTTTGCCTTTGGTCTCCCCAGCAGTTTTTTCACCTAATCTACATTCTATATGAGTTTAATTCCATCTCCCTCTCCTTCTGCCCGGTGTCTCAGGTTGCTATTCAGATCCTTCTCTCTCCTCCCTTGTTCTAAGAGAAGAGAAACTTTCTCTCCCTCTCAGGAGAGCGGGGCAATCACTTCTCTGGCCGTTGTGCTCAGTGTCCCCAGCTGCCTTCCCACTGACTTACACAGGTGGCTGAGCCCATATTGTTCTCAAAAAACGAAAGCTCTAAACTTTGATGTTAAAAATTGCAATCTTAAAACTGCCACAAGCAGCAGTCATCCAAAGTCCCACCAGCCCCAGTTTTGTGTCAGAAAGAAAGGATTGATCAAGGTAAATATGGATGTATAATAGCTTTTGAACTGCTATATGGGACAGATTTGGTCTTTTTGAAGCAGGACCATGTATTCTTAAAAATTAAGTTGTAACCTCAATGCAAAAATTTTGAAAGGCTTTTTTTTGCATAATTTTCTACTTCTAATAATACGATCATAATAATTGCTTCTAATTGCAGCATCTCTGAATTCCTGTCCAGTTGTTTTTTGTTTGCCAAATGTTTTTTCTTGAGATTTTATTTAAACCTTTTCTACTTATAACTGTTTGTGTTGTATTGCATTAAGAATTTTTATACAAATGCATCTCTGACCTCTCGTTTACCTTGTAGTTAAGATTTCTCCCTAAATATCCACCTATTAGTTCAGAAAAGGTTTTTCTGCAGTAAGGAAATGAAGAGTACCAGTATAAAGAATGTTCAAGACTATTATAGGACTTCTTGTGCTAGTTCCGAAGCTAAAATTTTCAACCTAAATATAAGGGCAAGTGGCTATTTCAGCCTCTGAGTCTTCATTCTTTCTCACATCATACCAAACTTCAGAAGGGGATCTCATTTTAAAACAATAAGAAACACTCATTTTAAAACATTGTAGAAACTAATGGTGGAAACTGAAATTGCTAACCAAGAAGATTTGTTCCTTTTAAGGCATTATAACACTTAAAAGAGGATAAAACAGAAAATAAGGAAATTGGACTAAAGAGTAATTTTGATTTAACCTGCTATTTTCATGTGAAGAAAACTTACTGGACTTTCCTGTCATAACTTCTAAATAAGATTTTGCCAAGATGGTGTTTCTGAGAGAGCATTTTCACAGGCACTTAGTATTTGCACAGTGTTAAAAATAATGCTCTGTAGTTTGTGGAGTAGGATGAAGCAAGAGGAAGTTTGACAAGAATATCACTAGCTGGTTTCTGTCCAGCTCTAAAAATTACACACAGTAGGGACATAATTCTTAGAGACAATGATTAGAAATAATAAAATATGTATGTGTCATTGCCAGTAATATTAAAACCAAACAAACCCCCCAGTCACTCATTTTATATCTCTTCAAGAAGTAACATTTGTATCACAGCAAAGGTTAAAGCAAAATTCTTCAATATTTCTCAGGCTTGTGGTCTAAAATCTCCTTGTTTGAAGCAATGTTGAAAAATTCTCTTTTCAGTAGTGTTTTGAGTCCTGATGCAATAGCTCCCCGGGAAATTTATTTTGTTCTCTTTGACAGAAAAGCATGCATGTGCTGTCGAGTGAAAGGGAGCTTATTTGCTATCAGGCAGGAAAGGAAATCAGCTGAGCCAGGCTTGCCCCTGAGTGCTCTCAGGCTGGTGGCCTCAGTGCTCATTTACCTCTATAAATATGAGTAGTAGCACTGCATAACCTTGAGCCACGTGGGGTTTTTTCCAGGGAGTTTTGTCTGCAATGACTCTTGTCATAGGTAAGTTTTATGCATGTCATTGAAAGTAGAAATTTTCCTGATAAGAGGTGGTCTGAATCTCTTGTGGAGACTGTATTATACTACAGCAAGTATGTACTGGTTTGGGTGCTGTGCTTTTTATAAAACATTGCATCACTTATGAAATTGGGTGGCTTTCCTATGAGCCTTCAGTAGCGGGTATTAATTCACCTCTGTAAGAAGTTGTGAAGGATTGAGGTATTTCCCTAAGGAATTATTTCATCATGGAGCTGGAAACATACTTAAAAGAGAATTTATATTCTTAACTTATGTATATTAAAAAGAGCTGCTTATGCAACCACTGGATTCATTAAGTCAATTCCTATGGTGTCTATCAGGAAATAAGCTATTGCAGTATATCCTTCCTCTATATGTGTGTGATGGCTTTGGAAGAAGCATGGTTTTGTCTAGGTTTTTATAGAACTTGTTTTATAGACCTCTCAGTGGCTGAAATTGATGTAATAGTTAATATTATTGATCTCATTTTGGAAAATAAGGCAGAGACTCCTTTGTGCTGAGTATATTTCTTCCTACAGGGACAAGGAAATGAGTATCATCTTCTCAATAATAAATAGCAGCTTTGTACTTAGGATGAATATGAATTAAATTCAAGGTGAAGGTAGTGAAAGAATTTCAAGAGCTTATTTTTCTTTCCTTGTATCTCTTGTCACGTTTACCTTGGAAAAATGTCTTTCTCTAATTTGAATTTGCCATACAACTAGACAAAAACAATGTGATACTTTTACTTAGCACATTCTAGTTTTAAAATCTTCCTTTTTTGTTGTTGTCTTTCCTGATAGTTTGTGCAGAATGTATGCTTCATGTAATTGATAGTTTTCAGTTTGTAGATGTCTAATTGAAAGTTTTCAAGATGTGTTATTTCTAGCTAAGTGCTAGCATTGGTTTGCCTTCAAATCGATCATGGTACCTAAATTCTGCTCTAAAATTTTAGAGTTGGCATCCTAGAAAGGACTTTCAGAATGACTTGGATATTATCAAAAAAATAAAAAAAATCTCTAGACTCTTTCAGATAGTTACCTGATTAGTAATTACCTATTAGTGGTTATGTTTGTCTCATGGACAATAAGAAGCTAACAGAAATATTTATGGCTTTAATATTACATGGGTTTAGGGGCAAGTATGAATATTTAAAAGCATTACAAAAACCCCTAAAACTAAAATCTGAGCAGACTAGAGAATTGAATTTTTGTCTTGCTATACTTTCTTGAGGTCTGCTCATTAGCTGCTTGAAGGTGAGACCTACTGAATATATAATTGTATGTTGTTGGGTAAATAGCTCTCTGATAGAAGAGGAAACTTCTGCAGTTTAAGTGTTATCAGTTATCTTTGCTATAGTAGGGCTTTCCAGTTAAAAACATATTTACAGTAGATTGTGTCTGGTTTGTGGGCTGTGGCTATTGCTCCCATCATGTGATTTGGTGGAAATTTTGCTATTGATTTTGTTGGGAATGGTGAGGGTTTTCCAAGGAGCTACAACCGTGCTTTCAAAGTACTAAATAAAAAATGTAGTCATTATGGTTTCTGGTTGAAATCTTGCCTAGATTTAAATGGTTTTTAAAACATATTTTTATTAGCTGCTATTTTCACAAGCTTTTCTCCTTGGAATGAGCTGCTGAGATTGTGGGTTCCCCTCCCCCCACTTAATGTTGTCAGCCAAATGCTGTTAAATAAATCTGTACCTCTTTTATTTCTTTTTTTTTTTTTTTCCTGTTTGTTGTTTTGTTTTGTTTTTTGTTTGCATCTTTTTCTTTCTCCTGCTCATCCAACCCCCCTCCCCCCCATGCTCACCCACCCCCCTTTACTTTTTCCAGATGGGAGGCTACAAGTTGTAGCCTGTCAAACAGTAAGGTGAAATTCTGGATGGTTTTCTGTTTTCCAGGTAGAAGTTAGGGAAGAGAAAATGTAGTCAGTAAAAGTAAGATTTTTTTTTTTTTTGGTTCATGAAAAATATTGAGAAGTCAAGAAGTGGAATAAATTGATATTTGTGTTTTAATTATCTACTGATGCTGTATATATCTTTCAAAAGTATTTTTAAACTATTTAGGAAGAATAATCCCATATTTTAATTATTGGTGCCTTACTAGATTTAAGCTACCTAGGAGGAGTAAAACTTGGAAAGGAGGTATGAACTATAGTAAAGAAATTACAAGAAAGCCAAACTGAGGAAAAAATGGCTTTTGCAATGTGAATTTATATTATGCTGTTTTAGAACTGTATGTCCCAAGGACCAGATCACTCTGACTTCGGTGAAGGGGTGGGATTTGTTTGGAGGTGGATAGATTGGTTTGCTTTTGGGTCTGGTCAGTCTTAAAGGTGGAAAATTTAAAGACACTGTAACTAATTTCCTGTTTGTTTTTTTTTTAATTTTAAGTCATGTGTTCAGACAGGAGTTGTTGCCTGTCAGCCCATGTTCTCCTCTGCTTTTTCTTCAGAATCTATGGGTTTTTCTCCCTTTTCTGATAAACACACACATCTTTTTAGACCTGTTAGCCCATTGCTTGTGCTCACGTAGACCTTCAGCCTGGGGGAAGAAAATAGCCTGAAAGGGTATGCTAATAACACCCTAAGGATGTTTTCTTTCTCTATCTCCAAAACTATGTGTAAAGAATACTTAAACTCTGGCTTTCCAAATACTGTCAGTGTCTTTTAAATACAAGTAAAAACTGGAAAAGAAAAGCAGATTTTTTTCAGAGGTTCATGTTTAAATCACAGCTCTGGATGTTGTTTAGACAGCTTGCAGCTGAAGAATGTTTCTTGCAGTTTTATATAAGCTTCTTTTTCCCCCTGTACAAGTAAGTGGTAGTGTTGCATGGAAATGTGTATTTCTAAGTATCAGAAAAAGGAGTGAAAATGGTTCAGCCATTTTCCATGTGTTCCCTTTCAGTGTATCTAAGATTTGACCAAGTGGATGTTGCCCGAGTTGTAAAAATAATTCTGTTTATGTCACAACAGTTCTACACAGGGAGTTTCTGCAGTTTGGCTAATTGGTAGCACTAACCCTTGGTAGTTTTTGTGACTGAAATACTTGTCCAGTACCTTTGAGTAGAGGTGACATACTGGTAAGTATTTTTTTTCCTCAATTGTAAGTTGGATTTTGAAACTGGTTATTGACAAGCATTTGTGTAACTTTACAAAGGTCATAATACTGGTGATCTTAATCTTGGCTATTAATTGTTTGACAATCTTTGCTGTTAGAAATTTTTCCTAAATTTTCCATGCAACAGTTCTAGCTTGTTGCTTCTTGCCATGTCTGCCACGGTCATGGAGAATAAAATGTTTTTGTCTTGTCCTCTGGTGAAAAGCTTCAGCTGCCCAAGGATGTTGCTAAGTTCTACCTAAAGGTGTCTGCTTAACTAATACAGATGGTTCATTAATCCTTCTTTTAGGTTAGACTTGCTGGGCCAATTCCTGTTCTTCCAAGTTGGTCCCCTCCCTTGTTGGCCTGAAGGGCTCTGGCTGTTGAATCCCCTTGCTGGTGTTGGGCAAAACTCTTTGCAGCTGATACCTTGGATTGTTTGCCCCCATACAGCTGTTACCCTTTTGTCATGTTGTGATACTGCGATTCACGCTCTGGATCCACAAGTGGATCTTTGGATCCAGAGAACTAGACATTTATTCTGCATTATTGGTGTATGCATTGCTTTGTGGTCAGTTGTGCTTTCTTGCTGTTGTCCCTTTCCTACATTTCTGTATTTTCTAGCCTCTCCCTCCAGTGTAAGACCATTTGGAAGTCTAAGGCTGTTGTTCTGTACACTAATGCTCCATCCAGTTGAATGTGGCCTGCTGATACAAAAAATCATTCTGTGAACCCAAATCAGTACTAAAACCAGTGATTATTTCTGTAATGAGGACAGTCCCCTGCAAAATTTTTTGTGATCCCTCTTGAAGTTTCTTGTTTGTAAAAATACTTTTTTCCTCATATATTGTACTCATTTGTTATTTTGATTTATACTGTGCTTCTCTAGTTTACTAATCCAAATGTCTTGTGAAACAACATCAAAAGATATAATGAATTTAAGATTTTTGGCATCCACTTATTTCCTTTCTTTTGTGGCAACTTGTCTGGTATACAAAGAAATTAGGTGGATTTGACATAATCCATTCTAGACCAGTCTAGGTTGACTGTTGAACATCTTGTCACTTTTTGATTAATGAAACAGAATAATTTTTATGTGGGAGGATCAATAAATATTCCCTGTACAACATAAAAATCTTGTTCCAAAAATACACATTTGTTTCAACCTTCTGTTACCTTCCTTTACCCAAAAAATCGGTGCTCTTGGTCATTTACACCACCGGTTTTGGGTGTAGCATGTTCTCGTGCTGAGCAGCAGCCCATCTCCTTGCATGCAGTCTCAATTTCCCCTCATGCTGTGATCACAAACCACACCTCGTAGTTGAACGCTTCTGCACAGCTCTTGATCCCTACATGGACAGCAGTGTCCGTCAGACAGTGACATCCGTGTGTCCTTTGCGTTTCGGCCCCTGCTGCCTCTCTGGTGGGTAGAGGGAACTGAGGGCAACTTTGTTCTCCACTTTAAACACGTTGTGTCTGAGCAGGATTCGCCTTTAGGTGCTACAGGAATGTGCCTGTGTAAAAGGAGAGTCTGCAAAGGACGCATGCACAATATCGTGAAACACTGCACAGTAATTTAACCAGGGGGAGGGATGTGCTGCTGAAAGGAATCAAGTTCACAGAAAAACCCTGGACAGTTCAAATGCACAGCCAAGAGAAAATAAAGCCAAAAATGTCACTCTTGTGTTTCCTTGAGCCTTAGCAATAGAAGGGATAAATGAGAAAAAGCCCCATGTTTGCATCTCTGTAGTGCTGTGTATCTTACTCTCTACTTGTAAAATCAGCAGATCTGCTGGTTAATGCAGTGGGAGCTCATGCAGTGTCTTTGAATGTTGTCTGCATTATCATCCTAATGGACTGAATGTGTTTTGATTCACAAATACTG